TTGAGGTACTGTTCATGCGAACGTAAAATGTTGTGTTTCAGGAGATTTCAAGCTTGTGGTGAGCTTTAGGAGGTTCTAAGGAAGCTCGGGGACGTTCGTTGGAGAGTTTTTGGACGTCGGGATCGTAGGTTTCAAGTTTGGCCGAATCTTTGGTTTTTTGCAAGGTGAGATTTCGTAGTTTTTAGGCCCTAAAACAAGTCCAACGTGATTGTACACTCTTAGGGCTTCAATTTGGTATAAAATACGAAGAAAAATGGGTGAAAAAACGAAGGAGAATAGTGAGTTTGAAAAATCGGCCGGAGTTCGGCCGGAGTCCGGCCACCGGAGAACCAGTCCGGCGAGACCTGCGAAGAAGACGACACGTGCGCTGCACGTGCTGCGCGTGGCCAGCGCGTGGACCCGTGCCACGTGTGGCGCGTGGGGGCGCGTGGGGCTTCCAAAAATTTTTCTAAAAATTTCTCGACGCTCGTGACGTCGAGTAGGTCGATGTGGTATATTAATATACCAAAATTGAGCATCGTATGAGAAGTTATTTCAAATTATTGGTGATGTGCTTAAAATTAATGTTTTTTATAGTTGTTTCGCATATAGGTGAGACGTATCCCGAGGACGACCGCATCCAGGGACGCCACGGGGGTTACGACCCGTCGACTTATCAGTGAGTGGGCAGTTTTGTTTTCGTATTACCTATATACTACTGTTTTTCCCAGAAAAATGTTTATATGAAAATATGTTTTGAATATGCCATGCATAGAATTATTTGAAAATCATGAATTGGTTTATGAACTATATGATTGAAATATGATGCATACATGTTGCATGGTGCTGTGGAGGCACAGGTAAGTCAGGTGAGTTCATTTATTCATTGAATTGTTGTTGTTGAGATGAGTTGAGCTCATAATCTGCACCCCAGGTGTTAGTGCTTATATTATTCACACACACCGCACGCTCGTCTTGGATCCAAGTAGGTGGATGTCGTACAAACCATGTGAGGGTTCCGACATGCTAGTCGTACAGATCACTAGGCGTGATTCCGACTAGTGGGTGACCTTAGTTATGCGCGCTGATGATATGATGAGAGAAGCACTAGAGCGTATTTTTACACCTTTCATCGTATAGACTACCTTACGTAGTTCCGAGTAATGTGCAGAGTAGGGCCGTATAGGTCACTGTGGTGACTCCGGCTTAGTGGGATTTGAGCTATTGAATTAATCGTATAGGACCAACTGCAGGGTCTCCGATTGATTCCTTATTCACCTGATTTATATTTTTATTTATGTCATGGCATGTTTTCTTGAAAATGTTAAAGATTTGAGATTTAAATGTTGAGATTTTATATGGTTATATGTTTCTGGGAAAGTATACAGGTTTTTACGGCGAGGGGATATAACTGTTTTAATGAAATGTTTTGGAAAACTAATTTGTTTTACTGACCCACTCATTTTGTTTTGCGCCCCTCCAGGTTCTAGTTTAGCGGTGGTTGGCTCACGAGGTCCTTTCCGGCTTTCTGACAGATTTGGGACATGTAGGACTCACCTGAGGGTGATGTATTCTTATTTTAGTCCTACTTGACTGCAGTTAACCTATGCTCTGAACTTATGTGTTTACTTGTAACTCGTCCGGTTATGTCCGTATGTGGTTATGTTGAGTTTGGGTTGAATTTCTGTTGTTATATGTTGTTATTACGCTTCCGTGTCGTGCTTATGGTTACGTCACGCCCACGTGACGGCCAGCACACCTGGATCCTCCGGATCAGGGTGTGTCATGTCTTGAGATTGCCAACGATGGAATTACATTCGTACTCATCTTGTCTTCTTGGTACTACTGTAACACATCCATGCTTTTCCTCCATGCCTTTTCCTTATTGGCAGTGGCTTCCAAATTATTCATGTTGCTCTCGAGTTCAATGAACTGCCTTCTTCTCCATGTGTTATCCTCTATACCAGTGCAATAAAGCCTTCTCCCTTTTCTATACTAGTGCAATAAAGCTCTTCCACACCACATCGTCCATAACTGCTTCGAAACTAAGTTTATGTGATTGGTTTCCGTCATTAAAAGCTAATTACTGCAATACATAATAAAAAGCTTATTATGTCGCTAACTCGATTTCTCATTCTTTAGTGTAACGGCTCTTTGGGGTAGGTAACTCCACATTGTAATTATATATACTTATAATTTTTTGTAATTATATAGAGGAAATTGTAGCAATAATTCCTTAACTTTAATTCAATTGGAGCAATGGTCCCTCAATTTTATTTCTATGACCATTGGTCCCTCAACTTGTCAAAATGTGTAGCTGTGGTCCTTTTCGTTAATGTGACAACCCGTCCAGAATTATAATATATTTTGTCCTCGACAACGTGGAAATATCGATTTTACCCTTAAGCGTTGGGTTGTGAATGTACAAATGGACTAAGGCTAAAAGAATGGACCAATTATTTTATTTCCTAAGTTTTGGGATTCAATCGAAATTGTAGGGTTGTTAGGACCAAGTTTGGATAGCCCAATTAGAACTTAGGGATTTTAGGTGTGTGCCCAATCCGAATCACCACACACACACACTCACACGTGCAACCTTTCTCGTTTTCTCTCTCTCATTCTCGAACCTCTATCTTTCCGTACACCTGAAACCATCCCAAATCTCTTTAAACCGTTGCAAATCGAGCTAGTGGAAGTTACCTTCGAGTTCCTTGCAAGCTTAGGGGTCTAACCATACCATTAGTTTGACATGAGGACTTCGGGAACTCGAGAACCTGTGAGCTCCGACAAGGTGTCCTGTTGCTTGAGCTTGATCGCGAGTGTTTTGAGGGGTTTTAAGGTACAAGAGAGTTTTAAAACGACTTTACGAAGTTGTTAGAGGAATTTTGGAAGGTTTTGGACGTCGGGACACTCGAGTTCATCAAGTTGCAGACTTAGCCGGTTTTCACGAAATTTTTCCAACCAATTTCCGTTGAATTTAGGACTCCAAAGTGGTAAGATCATGTTCTCCTTGTTGAGAGCTTCATTTTGGTACAAATTGCATGAATTTTGGTGTTGAAATGGAAGAGATATTGAAGTTTTTTCAGTTTTCCAGTTTCCGACGAGTGCAGTGGTGACTAGAACCGAACTTTGGCAAACCAAGGAAGGAGAAGGAGAATATTCTATCAACTTTGACGAAATATGCTAACAGCGTCAGATAAATTAAACGGAATATGTTGTTATTTAACGAAATATTCCTTAACGCCGTTAGGGAATTCATCAATGTGCCAAGCAAGTGCCTGCGCGTAGGCGGCGCGTGGGAACATAGAAATTTTTTCTAAAAATATGGGAATGTTCATGGTGTCAAGTAGGCCACGATGATATATTCAAATACCCCAATGAGCAACGTATGAGAAGTTATTACATAGTTTGGTTATGTGCTTAAAATAACATTAAAATAATTATTTCACATATAGGTGAGATGTTTCTTGAGGACGAGCGCAGTCAGGCAAGGGGTTATTACTTTTGGAAATAGAAGTGTTTTTTTTTAAAAGCTTTATTTTTGCCCACTCACACTTTCTGTTTTACGCCATTCCAGGTTTTAGGTAGGCGTGCTTGTTGGTGGCTTGCGAGGAGGCTGGGCGGTTCTGACAGACTGTAACCAATGTAGGACCATTCTTCTGGTATTGTATAATTAGTATCTGTCCTATTGGACTGTACTTAGGCTACATATGCTCTGATTATGTGTGTTTACACTTAAATCTCATCACTCGCACCTATTTATTCGTCTAGTGTAAATTAGTTAGCTTGGTTTTTATTTACTCACATTTTTATATCCTTATCACTTCCGCACTGCGCACATAGCTACGTTACCTTCACATGACGGCCAGCATGCCTTGATTTAGATCGGAGTGTGTCAGTTAACACCGTCAATGGTTCTGTTAAAATCAGTCACGTGCGGGGCACATGATATTGACTGTATGGGCAATTAAGGAAACCTATTATTTTCCTTGGGTTGGAGTCGATCGAACACAACAAAGCGGGGTTGGATAGGGTTTTGCGAGAAGGGTTATTTGAGTTGTTTGAGTGTTCAATCCCTCCAAAACTGATAATACTCAGTGTACTTGGGTTTGCAATCGGAAATTTGGGTGTTTTAAGGTTCAATTTCAAGGTTAGTTTAGCAGAGGATGATGAAGTTGTCGGATGTCATGAGATTGCCAATGATGGAATTACAATCCTCCTCATACTTCCTGCTCATCTTTGTCTTCTTGGTATTACTGTAACACATAACACATCCATGCTTTTCCTCCATGCATGCTGCTTCCAAATTATTCATGTTGCTCTCGGGTTCAGTGAATTGCCTTCTCCTCTATACCAGTGCAGTAAAGCCTTATCCCTTATCCCTTCTCCTCTATACTAGTGCAGTAAAGCTCTTCCACACCACATCGTCCATAACTGCTTCAAAACTGAGTTTCTGTGGTTGGTTTCCTTCATTAAAAGCTGATTACTGATGTTGGGAATTTGAGAATTGGGCATGGAGGAAGTTTCAATTGGGGATGGGTATCGACTTCAACTTGGAAATAATATGTTTCCTTAATTGCCCCTACAGTTAGTCTCATGTGCCACGCACATGACTGAATTTAACGAATTTATTGACGGTGTTAAGGAAAAGGACCATAGCTGCACATTTTGACGAATTGAGGGACCAATGGTCATGAAAATAAAGTTGAGAGACCATTACTCCAATTGAATTAATGTTAAAGGCCTACTGCTACAATTTCCTCAATTATATAACCTAAATCATTATTTTTTATAGATAAAAAGTAAAAATAAAAATAAAAAATCGTTTCCAGAACCGATGTAGTCTTTATTTTTCAATAAAGATTGAAAATAGTCTCATACATGATTAAACAGATTTAGTTGATTTTTTGCACCGAGGATCCGTAAATGAGAACTCATGGAGATAAAAAAGCAAGATACACTTGCTCTGGTAATTGGTAATTAGTCAACAACTTCTGCCAGCCCAGGGCCATCACCAATTCTTCAACTAACCAAACTATATGACTCCATTTCATTTCAGTTCAAAATATAACTGTTGATACAAAATATTCCGAAACACGGAAGATTTCAAAGGGCCACGAACCAAAAATTCCTCTTTGAATTTGAATTGGACTACATTGACTTAAAGAGTTACTAGAACCAACCTCTATAAACTAAAGTCCGGTAAAGCCTCTATAGACACCGCACCACGTCCATGGTGAGGATTGCTGATTGGGAAATCGCTCTGTGAAGGCACCGGTATAGAGCTCACAGCCTCGCGTAACATGAATATGCAGAAGCGAATTGCCAACATTAACCTGCACGTACTGTTCACTCGACTTTGATGATTTTTCTTTTCCGTAATGGCTCTTCAACTATGCTTCCTGGGGCACTGTGCGCCTTCCTCTTCTCTTGCTTCTTTCTCTGAGATTCATTTTGTTCACGAATTTGCTTACCTGCCTTGTATATTGGTTTCGGTAGGTGCCTATGCCTGCACAATCACCATTCACAACAACAGATAGGTGAGAAATACAGACTAAAAATGGTTGGCCATTTTACATGTCAAAATACAATTCATTATTTTAACAAGAAATAATGATTATAATTCCATGTTCGCTGAAACAAACAAATAACAGCAGGCCTCATCCTTTTGTACCTCACAATACGCTTGATTTCAGGAAGGTGCTTGTAGCGGTTTTTGACCGCCTCATGATACTCGTGCTTTTTCTGTTCCCTTGGAAGAAGCTGCAGATGACAATAATTATAAGTTTATATCTGTGAGTTTCAAGCCTATATTGGTGATAGCGTGCATGGAAGAACAAAATTCTGTAGTCAAACCAATTTATGCATTCTTTCTTTTCGAAAACAAAAATAATTACCCAACGAAATAAAAAACCATCCTAAAAAAGTAATATACAAGGATGTAATGAGTGAATATCAGAAATAGGTAATGGAAGAATAACTCCCAAGTCCCAAGGTGAAAGTCATGCTGTAACCCGAAGGCAACAAAAGGACGAGGTAAAAAAGAGATTTCTTACAACTCCCAATTGTTCTGATGCTTTAGACTTCCAAAGCCTAAGATTAGTATCATCACTCCCAGAAATAACATAACTACCATCGCAGCTGTACTTGACACAAAACACCCTACATAAAAAGCAGGACGAGGGAAACAAGAGTCAGAATATCGAAGTTAGTGACTCAACAAGCTATAGTGACGTGATTGACATATGAAAGCTAACAGCATAGGTTCAATAAATATGAGCAATCAAATAAGAGAAGGAATGCATGAAAGCCAAACCTTTGCATTCTCTTCGTATGATAAATCTCCCGTTTGTGACCAGCATTATACGGGAAAATCATGATCTGCAAAGGATTTTTTTTAAAAAGGACTAAGGCCATATTTACACAAACATTGATGAAATGGAATTTAATTGTATGTAAAAGGGAACTCACAGTTCTATCATAAGACCCAGTGACAAATTCTCGACCAGTTGGAGAATAATCAATATCCATCCTGAGGGGAAAAAAATGGAAGTTTGGTATACAAAATTTCCATACTAAAATATACTATAGGAAAAATGGATTTGAGGTGTGGGGAAAAAATCCAAATATTCCAATTGCAAAATTTTAAACTTACACAGCAGAAACATGATCCATGTGAACACACGTAGCTTCACCAAACTTTCTACAATCAAAGCTATAGCAGTTGGAGTCTTCGTTTGCCTATAATTGAGGAATCAGATTAGCCCCGCCACGGAATAGAATAAGAAAATGCTACACGAGGAAGAAGAAAGCCCAAATATTTGAGCATTGGTGTGCTAATGGGCTTGTTCTCCAAAACTACTAATAAGGGTACCAATCAAAAGTAAAATATTTTTTGCAAACAAATGATCACAAGATTTTTTTACAATGAGGAATTTGCTCCAAATCATATTACCAAGTTGCATTGGTAGAGCTAAAGTTTTATTCCAGAATTCAACTCTCAGGCTCATATGTGATGATTAAACATCCTAAAACAATGAAAAGGATGCACAAAGATAATCTGGAGCAAATCCCTTGTGTACTACAGAGATAGCAAATAAAAAATTCTGAATTTACATCCTTACAGCAGTGAAGTTGATTGGCTCCATTGGGTTCCAACAAATGGAATTGGTTCTTGTCTGTCAAAATAAAATGCAAGTTAGAAATACCATTAAGAGACCAACAAATATTGCTATTTTCTTAGCTCTCAAAACTTTAAAACCAAAACTGTAAACAATTGAAGGGATGAACTGAACATCGATGATTTGGTATCAATACCCTCATTATAAACTTTGATGTTGGTTTTCCCATGCGCAAGTCATATAGTGCTATGCTGCGGTCACTGCAACAGAAATCACATATTACTTTTCTCTCCGAAAATACGATATTATATAACTTGTTAGAAAAGAAGCAAACAAATATGGAAAGATGAAATAAAAACGTTGCAGTGTGAACAAATAAAAAAACAAAAAATTATGTTGCAACAGACAATCATTACAGCTTAACCTTCTTTTACACGAAAGCATTTGTTTTCCAAGAGTATTTTATTAGTTCCATTCTTATTAAATAAAACACATGTAACGGAATACTAAAATTAGAAAGCAAGGTATCCAAAACCACATGTAACGGAATACTAAAATTAGAAAGCAACGTATCCAAAACCAAACACCAGAATGAGTAGGCACATGGTATCTAATCTGTTTACCGTACAAGTTTTTATTACTAGTATTATTATACATATCTTAATTACAAGCATCAATACATACCTTGCAGATGTTGCCAAGATATCGGGCTCCCCAGGATTAAATCGAACAGATACAACTGTGTCTGTGCCCCATTGGTAACTCTGCTCTGGTGCAGACCTATACATAAGAACAATAAACAATAAAAAAGAATTGTCCACTTATGAGGGATAAAAAAATTATCATTTTCTTTAGTTAATAAAAGAATAACTACGCCAGATCAAAACCTGTTGTGGTTCCATATATCTACTCCAGCTCCCCCCGTAGCAAACCGATCAGAATTCCACTGGTGATCAACAGACCTTCAAATGAGAAAGTAAACCTAAATCTTAGGAACTTTGACAATCATAGGACATATCAATCAATTTGTAAGATCAACTAGAAAGTGTCATCTCTAAAAATTCAGTTAGAAATTTACCGGAACGCATTCTTCCAAACATAAGTTTCCCGTGGCTGCAAATCATTTATAACAGTTAGGTAGGTATAATGTGGACTACACATTCATTCAAAAGACATGTGACAGTATTAGGAAGGCAAATACCTGAGCAGACTTATCGGATGAGGCATCTTCCTCCAGGAGATTAGAAACAGGTACACTCCAAAGCCTAACACTGAAAAGGGAAGATAGTGACTTCATCATGGACAAATCTTCATTAACAGTACAAGAACTTAAGTTTGTAGAGGGAACAAGGGAATAAACAAAGGAGGTTATGCCTTACGTGCTATCAGTTCCACAAGACACAAGAACACGCCCATCTGTAGATACTGTTAAACCTTGGACAGCACCTTTATGACCAGGAAACCGACAAACTGTTCGCCTATGTTGGGTTCAATAATTATAGCAAATACAGTAAATTCCAAGTATTTATGTATGGAAATGACAAAATGATCTATATATATATATATATATATATATCTACAGTCTCCTTCCGCCAAGGGATCCCTCAAATAAGTTTACTTGAGCAATCCTTTTTAGGTCTTCCCTTCAAGTAAGCTTATTTGAGGGATCTTTCAACTGAAGGGAATATATCTATAATGATTCAAAAGCAGGGACATCTGGTCCAAGTCTCAATCAATCCATATAATACTTCACATGAAAAAATCATAACTCACCTGGAAGCTAGATCCCAAAGCCGAATTTCTGCCAAAAAATGCACGTGAATACTATTATGGGTCAAGAAATTCAAACATATTTAAACTCTAAAAGCTTAGTACCATATTATATTTTGCAAATACCAAAATTAATATAAAGAATAAGGTAAGTAAATCCATAAATATCAAAATTATATGGTGATACCTGTTTTTCCTAAGACTTTGCAGGAGTATAAGATTAACATGAAATAAATTAGAGACAAAAGGAATTCGAAAATTTTAGAGGAAACAAAGCACCTCCATCCATTGAACCAGAAAATATTCCTATCAAGTGGTTTGGATTCTTTGCCATGCAGGAAATGGAATCTATATGTCCCTCCATTGCTCCAACAAACGGCCTCGCGAATATCTAAATTACCCACATAAAATACAAACAACATTCAAACAAATTTAGATGCACAATTATTCAAGGCATTCAAAGTCCAAAAATCAAAATCAAAACCAAATCACACCTTATCTAATTTTGCAGCGTTTTGTGCCCGGACATACTCGACGGCTTTCTCTTGGGTTCGGATGCTGGGGTCGAAGTTACGGAATACCCTCTGTGGAAATCCAACCAGAAACCCTAGCCTCAGAATTTAGGGAGAGAAAGAGCGACGAAGAACACTGAGTAGAGAGAGAGTGGGGGAAAAAACTCACCTGGAGGTCTTGGCTTCGTTCTTTAGTGAATTCATCTGCGGATCGAGATATTACTTTCACCTTCATCGTAATCAAGATCTGCTATGATATTTGCAGAATTGGAAACCCTAATTTTGTATCAATTGGGGAGGGAGAAACCAGAGTGAGGAGTTGAAGCTAAAACCCTAAGACAAGATTGAATAGAGCCGCCAAACAGCCTAAAACCCTGGTTCTGCTCTTGCTGCTGTTATTTGCAGTGGATGCTGTTATTTCCTACTCACATGACAAGTTTACCCTTTTAAAACCTAATTAAAATCTTCTTCTTCTTCTTTTTATTTTTTATAAATTCATTTATAAAATGAGAATAGTTAGTAGTTTCGCCACGACAGTCCACCATTCTAAGGGTTGGAAAGACTACAGAGGCAGTTAAGCCTTCCCTAGCCACCGTAGTACGATTCACCAACGGTAGGAATTGAACCCAAAATTAGACCAGGAATTCATTTCCAACTACTAAAGCTACTTTATAGTGATTTCTAATTAGAATCTTTTTATTATATTATTCTTTTAGAAATAAATAAATAATAATAATCTTATTCACCTCAAATTTATAAAATTTCCCGGAAATAATATAAAGCAATTTTGAACTGTTGGATTTTTTTGCTTTCTCCGAGGATGTACATTTAAACAAATTACACGTGTTACACTTTGCAGGCCCTGTTGAAAAAGATATATATATATCATAGGAGTTGCATCGAAATTCCATAAAATTCAAACACATCACTTGAGGTACAAAATATTATTGTGCACCATATAGAATAGTTTCGTATTAAGTTCTTTGTTAATACATGTGACAAAATATTTTGTTGCTCCTTTGTGATAAAAAAGTTATGAGTTGGAGTTGTGAAATCAGTCTCTTTGTAAAGAGTAAGATTGCGTACGATAGACTTTTCTCTTCTGATCCTCGCAAAACGGGAGCTTATATATTGGCTTGGGTCCTCTTTTTTTATATATTGGAAGACTTCTTGCTATCACTTGAATAAATCAATTCAATCGATGTTGGTTGTATCTTCTATTCGAATTGGTACTGCTTGGTTTGTTGACAGTAAGTCACGCTGCCTTCAAGGCTAAATCAATTTTTCCCTCGTTATTTAACAATTCCCTCACGAGCTCCTATCAGAGATCACAAAACGAACAAAAAGTTGCTAGCTAGCGCTAGGTGGATTAGAGAATTTAGTGTTCTCGATATGTATTTTGAGTTTTGTGATATGATGATTCCTGCTAATGTAAAGTTTTCGTGCAGTATAAAAAAAGGTAGTATGACAATGGAGTTTGTTTAGAAATGTTTTTAAATGACTAAAACTAAAAACGTTTTTGTAAACTCAACTTATTTTGAAGATTGTGTAGACGTAGATTATTTCATGCATGTAATATATAATTTGATCCATTTCATCCTAAGAAGTTTTAGGGAAATGAGATTACATGCTTGTCATGAAAAAAAAAAGTAATGGAATGAGCTTCACACAGCAAATTTTTAATGAAAAACACTTAATAGTCCTTTTTAGGTTCGACTGTCCCATTTGTAACCGGAATTTCTTTTAAATTTTTGTTATAATTTGAAGATAAGTAATGGAGTGGTGACATTATCGTACATGAACTGAAGTTTGGATGTGGCTATGTCATAATTAAGTTGAAGATTGGTGACAGTGACAAGTATTTCATCCTAAAACCATCAACAATTTTTTCGTTATTTTCGGTTGTGAAGAAACAATTGCTAGTGACACCATACTTCAATTTAATTACGATACTTTCATTGTGTCCAAACTTCAAATTCATTATGATATTGACACCACTTCATGTCCTTATGATTGAAGAAAGTTCATTAATTGTTTATGGATAAAAAAACGTAAGTTTATGTTCTCTAAACGTCTAGCTCTAGTCGGATGGCGGGCACTGGCGTAAACACTCAGGCGTCTAGCAAGGCCTAGGCAGTTTTTTAATTATAATTAAAGTTATTATATAACATATAAATAAATATTAACTTATACTTGAAAAATTACCTAATTACTATTGGAAACATACTTTCAAAATAAAATGACATATACATTATAAAATATTAGAACATATTGAAAACACGATAAACAAGTAAATAATTATAATTTATTAAAAAAATGCAAAATAATAATTATGTATTTGAGAGTCTTGACCTATGCGCCTAGCACTTAGACGCCTAGAGATCAATCAGACCATTGGCCACCCACCTAGCCTGTTGAGGGAATTGTTTAGAATAATGAGTTTGTAGGACTCTAGTTTATTGAAAAAAGGGAAAAATTAAAATTTGAAAGAAAAAAAAAAAACGAACAAAAATGAATAAAAAAGAAGAAATCAATTAGTACTATGGTCTACTGATATTCTTTTTCATTTGTAAGTGAGAGTTCTTAGGTTCAATTCTGATAAAAAACGAATTTGAATTGTATTAATATTAGTCTTTTGTGAGGTTAAACTTATTGTTTGTTAAAAATAAAAAAATAAGGGTAAATCGCTAAAATGGTCTATGAGATTTGCATAACTCATCAGTTTGGTCCCTGAGATTCCAAATCGATAAAAGTGGTCCCTGAGATTGTCCACCATCCATCATTTTGGTCATTTCATTAAAAACTCTGTTAAGTGTCCCGAAACTCTTGGCCGGAAGTTTGGACAATTTTCAAAGTTTTGTAACTCAATCGTTTCTTAACCAAATTCGACCCATAATATATCAAAATGAAGATAGGAAAGTGTAGAATAAGATTTTACATATTTCGAAGCCCAGTGGTTGCCGGAGATTGTTGGAAAATAGCCTCAAAGTTGACTGGTCGTGAAAACTTGAAAACTCACCGGAAACTGGGTAAACTTTAAACGTTCATAACTTCTTCAATACGCAACGAAATCAAGTGATTCAAAAATGAAAATCATATTTCTTGATGATACGAAGAGAATGATATCTTTTTTATGGCTAACTCACCGTGGTTTGGCCAAAAAATGGTTCGAAAGTTGCTATCTTGGTCTCGAGTTAGCCACTTTCAAGCCATTTTCCGGTCAAACCACAGCGAGTTAGCCATTTAAAAAGGTACCATTCTCTTTGTCTCGTCAAGAAATATAATTTTCGTTTTTGAATCACTTGATTTCGTTGAGTATTGAAGAAGTTATGAACGTTTAAAGTTTACCTAGTTTTCGGCGAGTTTTCAAGTTTTCACTCGGACCAGTCAACTTTGAGGCTATTTTCCGGCCATCTCCGGCAACCATTGGACTTTGAAATAGTTATAATCTTATTCTACACTTTCCTATATTTATTTTGATATATTATGTGTCGAATTTGGTTAAAAAACGATTGAGTTACGAAACTTTGAAAATTATTCAAACTTCCGGCCAAGAGCTCTGGGACACTTAACAGAGAGACCAAAATGATGAACAGTGGACAATCTCATAGATCACTTTTATCGATTTGGAATCTCGGATACCAAACTGAGTTATGCAAATCTACGTTACCATTTTGACAATTTACCCAAAACATAAAGATTCTTGATTCTTTCCTTCTACGGGCAGTAACAGATCATTCCCAATTCTCTTGCTCTCCTCCCTCCCTCCTTGTGTCGATTTGGAATCTCAAGTACCAAACTGAGTTATGCAAATCTCATGTACCATTTTGGCAATTTACCCAAAAAAATTAAGATTCTCGATTCTTTCCTTCTACGGGCAGTAACAGATCATTCCCAATTCTCTTGCTCTCCTCCCTCCTTGAGTCCCCCAAATCGACGAAAAGGGTTTAGCTTTCTTCCTTCCACTCTGATTTTCCACCAAATGGTAGTTGAATTGTAGGGTTTCAGATTCAAACAATGAGCACCGCCAACTCCAATAACAGTACCAACCACCACCACGGCGACCGAGATCTCGGCTTTTGGTTCCTCGAGCAATCGCGGCTCGCCTCTGCTCGGGGGCTGACCGACATGGACGAGGACGAGGACGCCCCCACGGAGCTCAACACCATCAACAGCTCCGGCGGCTTCCTCGTCGTGTCCCCTGACAAGCTCTCCGCCAAGTACCCCAACGTCAATCTTCACGGCCACGACGTCGGCGTAGTTCAGGCTAACAAGCCGGCTCCGGTCAAGCGGCTCGTCTACTACTTCGAGATTTATGTCAAGGATGCTGGGACCAAGGGCCATATTGCCATTGGATTTACTTCTGAGAGCTTCAAGATGCGGAGGCAGCCCGGGTGAGGGTTCTTGGTTGATTGGGTCTGTTTGGTTTCTGAGAAAATGATTGAAAGTTAACTGTCACAGTTATTAGTGGTTTTTTTTTTTTGGAGGTTTTAGTTGTGGATTCAAGTTGGTGGATTTCTTGGTGTTTCGGAAACCTGATAGGTTCAGAAAGAACCGAAATAGGAATTTAAAGTGGTATTTTGTGTTAATCTTCAACTGGGACTTTGCAAGCTAGAGATCTTCTTATGATGTTATGGGAGAGAAGTTTAATTTCGGTTTTGCTGATTATGTTTAATTAGGTGAGCTAGTAGAAGGTCAATGTACATAGGGTTTATTAGCAGATAAGTGATCGTTGATGAGTTTTATGTTGCACATTTGTTTTTGACCTTTGATTGTGTGAACTGTGTGTTCCTAATTGGATAATAATAGTGTACTTTGTGATCAATTGGAGGAAAACGATACAAACCCTCACCGTAAAAAGTTGAGATATGAATTGGGGAGTTTGTTTCTCCACTACCATATTTTTATTTTTTCTGGGGAGGACCCAAGGGAGGAAATGAAGGAAAAACCAAAGGAGGAAAACATTTTGTTTTCTGCATGTTGCATTGTGTTTTCCACTGTTTGTGAGATTTGAAAACTGCGATTTTAATTGGCAAGTTCTGTAACTTCTGTTATTCTAGTCATGATATTTGTGTTAATTATTTCCTTCATGAAGCAGATGGGAGGCAAATAGTTGTGGCTATCATGGCGATGATGGACTACTTTATCGGGGACATGGAAAAGGAGAAGCGTTTGGCCCAACCTACACCTCTGGGGATATAGTTGGAGGTGGTATCAATTATGATTCACAGGAATTCTTTTTCACGTAAGACTTGTCTACTTCGTTTGGTGTTTCTTCTCTTGAGACTAGAGTGGTGTTTAATGTGATCTTGTTTCGTTCATGTTGGTTCCAGTAAAAATGGTGCTGTGGTGGGAACAGTGCCCAAGGATATCAAGGGCCCCTTATTTCCTACCATTGCTG